TAATAATAATAATAATAATAATAATAATAATAATAATAATAATAATAATAATAATAATAATAATAATAATAATAATAATAATAAAGTTGGAAGGGACCTTGGAGGTCATCTAGTCCAACCCCCTGCTCAGGCAGGAAACCCTATACCATTTCAGGCAAATGGCTGTCCAGTCTCTTCTTAAAAACTTCCAGTGTTGGAGTATTCACCGCTTCTGGAGGCAGGTTGTTCCACTGGTTAATTGTTCTAACTGTCAGGAAGTTTCTCCTTAGTTCTAGGTTGCTTCTCTCCTTGATTAGTTTCCATCCGTTGCTTCTTGTCCTGCCTTCTCTTTGGAGAATAGCCTGACTCCCTCTTCTTTGGGGCAGCCCCTGAGATATTGGAACACTGTTATCATGTCCCCCCCTGGTCCTTCTCTTCGTTAAACTAGACATACCCAATTCCAGCGGCCTTTCCTTATATGCTTTAGCCTCCAGTCCCCTAATCATCTTTGTTGCTCTTCTCTGTACTCTTTCTAGAGTCTCAACATCTTTTTTTACATCCTGGTGACCAAAACTGGATGCAGTATTCCAAGTGTGGCCTTACCAAGGCATTGTAAAGTGGTATTAATACTTCACGTGATCTTGATTCTATCCCTCTGTTAATGTAGCCCAGCACTGTGTTGGCCTTTTTGGCAGCTGCAGCACACGGCTGGCTCTTATTTAAGTGATTGTCCACTAGGACTCCGAGATCCCTCTCACAGTTACTACTATTGAGCAAGGTACCCCCTATACTATACCTGTACATTTGGTTTTTCTTGCCTAAATGTAGAACCTCACTTTTTTCACCATTGAATTTCATTTTGTTAGATAGCGCCCAGTGTTCAAGTCTGTCCAGATCCTCCTGTATCCTAAGCCTGTCTCCACCTCAACCCTTCCTCCTCCAGCAACACTATTCCATCTTCTCCCTTTCTGCCAGCACTTGGAAATAGGCCATGTCAGGAGACAGACAATGCAAGGACTATTAGAACTGTTCTATGAACAAGTATCACAGCATAGTCTTGAAAGCCTGCCACTCCATCTTATACCAAAGAGAATCAAGAAAGAGTTCCCTTGAGTTTCTTTCTCACCTGTTCTTCTTTCTCTGTGGAAGGCCACAGGTTCAGTTCTGGTTTCCAAGTCTTCAATCTCATCATTAATGTCATGGGGAGGGATTGAAAGGAAAGCTTACCAATCATAGAAGTCATAGAATCACAGGGCTGGAAGGGAGCTTGGAGGCCTTCAAGTCCAACCCCCTGCTAAGGCAGATGTCCTTATATACCATTTTAGACAAATGGTTGCCCAATCTTTTCTTGAAAGCCTTCATTGTTCCATTGGTTAATTCCTCTCACTGTCAGGAATTTTCTCATTCCAGATTGCATCTTTCTTGAATGGGTTTCCACCTGTTTAATGAGTTTCCACCTGTTGCTTCTTCTCCTGCCTTCAAGTACTTTGGGGAATAAATCCACCCCCTCATTTCTTCTGCTCAAGTATTGGAAGACAGCTATCATGGCTTCACCAACACTGAGAAAGGTCATTGATTTTCATAGGTTAGAGAAATAAGCTGGACATAACAGAAGAAGATTTCACAGAAATAAAAACAGAGACCACCCGTGAAATAGAATGGGAAGCCAGCTGGCTTGACAACAGCACAGGTAAAGAAGAACTTGGCTAAGAAAAAAAGTACAAAGAAGAGCAACTAAGATGATTAAGGGCCTGGAGACTAAAACATATGAAGAACGGTTGCAGGAACTGGGTTTGGCTAGTCTAGAGAAAATAAGGAGTAGGGAAGAGATGATAGCAGTATTCCAGTATTTGAGGGGCTGCCACAAAGAAGAGGGGATCAACTTATTTTCCAAAGCACCTGAAGGCAAGACAAGAAACAACGGATGGAAACTAATCAAGGAGGAAAGCAACCTGGAATTAAGGAGAAACTTCCTAACAGTGAGGACAATTAACCAGTGGAACAGCTTGCCTCCAGAAGTTGTGGGTGCTCCATCATTGGAGGTTTTTAAGAAGAGATTGGACAGCCACCTCTGAAATGGTCTAGGTCTCCTGCTTGAGCAAGGGTTGGACTAGAAGACCTCCAAGGTCCCTTCCAGCTCTATTCTGATTCTAAGGCACGCCACCCATGCCTGGTTAGTCAAAGGGCAAATGTCGTTGTAAAGCTGGACCAGGATTCACTTGTAGCAAAGGCTCATGGGATATTTGGGACTTACTAGAAATGATTCTGTCCAACTCGACATATTGCCAGAAAAATCTCTATCTCGGTCAATGAATTGAGTCAATGGATTCAATGGAGCCAGACCCATCCTTTCAATCTCTATCAAGGCTTTGCTTGGCAAAATTGTACAAAAAAAAAAAATATGGGGTGTGGAAATTATTAAAAAAGAAAAAAGAAAAAGCTGGGAATGGAACATTTCCCAATGATTAAAATAGCCACAATTTGACAACTTGGCAAAACCTCAATCTACTTCTGTTGTGTCCAGCTTATTTC